AATCAAGACGAGCTTAGGAAGACTAACGGTTATCCTCATCCCCTCGGACAAAAGAGGACAAGCGGAATTCAGGAAACTGAGCGAAATAATGGAGCAAAGGAGCGGAAGAAACCCGGGCATTAGAATAGGGGACTTCAATGCGCAACTAGGTAGACTAGACGGAAGGGAAGGGGAGGAACAAAGGATAGGCAAAATGCTCAAGTATGAGCAAGACAACGTGAATGGCAGCGAGCTTAGGAACATGGTACGATCACCGACTAAAGTAATGATAATCGGAAGCTTACTGCCACTTAGACAACCAACCATACACTATCTAAAATGGTAACCTTGAAGTGTAACTTTTCCGGCGAGAATTCGTGTGGGATGGGACGCACGGTGTCGTTGCTTCGGTCAAGTCAAAGAAAATAAGCATCACAAACACAGTAGTAGTATGGGACAGTACAGTAGGATCGGACCAGAAAATGGAATGGGAGGAAAACGGGGAGGGGGAGGGAGCAAAAAGGAAAAATGACAGGAAGCAAAGCGGGAGAATTGAATGGTAGGATGTGAGACTTCTGATAGGAGAGAAGAAAAGGGAGAAGTATAGAAAGGAGCAGGACGAGATTAGGAACAAAAAGGGGGAAGGGAGACCATTTTGGAACAAGATCGTCGAGACGCTTAGGAAAGCAGCACGGAAAACACTAAGGGGGGGGGGGGCATAAACCGCCCATGTCACCGCAACATGTAATCAAGCTATTCGCCGAGCTTAGCCCAATGGAGAGGAATGCGCAAATGTGTAAGCACATAAAAAAAGAGGATGAAACAAGGAGGAATCAAAAAATATGTACCAATGACAGCAGGTCCAACTATTCGAGGAGAACGATTACTTGCCACACCCCCCCCCCCCTCCACGTTGTAAGAAATGATGGATATAGTAAGAAGAAAAAGGGCAGGATAGGGTCCAGGCCGAATTACTACAATGCGCATCAGGCGCCAAGGAATGGCAGCAGACAGTGCAGATCCCCATCCCAAAAGTCAGGTCACCAGTCATATCAATGGACGATCACATATTCACGACCAGGAGGATTCTAGCTGAACACTGGAAGACAGGAACCAAAATTGGCTTCTAGCAATAGACCTGGCGAAGGCCTTCGACCAAGTGAAGCATGAAGCAATAGTCGATCTCGAGGACTTCGTCCAAACCAGCGACGTATACCTGCAGATGGCAGGCCTCCGAATAAACAACGAAAAGAGCTACATGATCATAAGAAATCCAAGAAGCAATACCGAATACAAGGAAGGAGGAAAGATCAGTGAGGGAGATAACCATGAAGCACAAGATTAAATATCTGGGAGCGTACATAAATAGCACACTCAGTAGGAGCAACACAGTGAAAGACAGAATAAACAAAGCATTCAGAGTCGCACACAGAATCCGAAACTTCATACGAGAGAAGAAAATCCAGGAATCTAGTTGTCTCGGAATGGAAAGTAGGCCGGCCCTACTTCACATGGAACACCACTATAGGACCAAACGGTGGCGGCCTCGGGGATTCCCATAGAGAGATGGGAAGAATGGAGCACAGACAATCACAAGGAGGAAGAATCAGACGGAAGTACAAGCAGCCAAGAGGAGGAGGAGGAGGAGGAGACAGAAAGGGAGGCATGGAGAGGACAAAAATAAGGAAGGGAGAATTGAGATCAATGGATGGAAGCATCGGCAACTAATGGAACGAAGGGGGAGAGGTTATCAACAGGAAGCAGAGTTCCCTCTATTGCAGTTATACCAGTGGCGAGACTGTGGCCGTACCCTTTCGGGTAGGACAACACCCAGTTAGCTCCCCCATACCCTCCTCAATCCACAATTCATCACATTGTTTGGCATCTGTCGCAGCCCACCGCAATGGCAACAAAAATAATTCACTTTACCCAAATAGTGAGGTTGCTGGTCAACACCCAAATGCCATCCACAGTAGTTCTAAACCTCCTTTCGAAGTGATCATCCCAATGGTGCTCGTAGTAGGTCGCCTACTCCTAAAAGCAACCACCGTGAATAACTATTTTATCCTAGCAGCCAATACCGCCATTCGACCAACGGTTGGTACCTGAACTAAATAGGCCCGGAACTTTGAAGTAATTATTGAAAGTCCAACCTAACGTTGGCCCTGTAGTCGCTTGGGATTACTTTAACAGGCCGCCAGGGGATCTTTGCGAGTGACGTTCCGAGAGGCATATCTCAATTCCCAAAGAGACGACAACGCGTTCGTAATGATGCAAATTTAATATCCACTTGTAATTTTGTAAATCGCTCCTGAAATTAAGTGCTAAAGTCGAGGGTAAATCGTTTGACTTCCTAGTAACTACTTCGCAAATTGCATTGTAAGTTATTACCACTGGCACTTAGAGAAATTAAGCTTGAGCCTTATTTCAGTTCCCGAGTTCGTGCACTTCCATACTCGCATATCCGATCGGGCGATTTAGTGAATTACTTTCCGAATCACAATATACGGAACGGAAGTGCACTTTAAAGTTTCGATTCTGCAAATAAGCCGAAGTTAAGATTAATGAAAACGAGCTTCGCGCACGAAATTTGCACAAGAAACACTCGTTCAATTAACAATCGTCGAGACCAACTCGATTCGTTTACCTCAGTTTGTTGTTTAATGTTGCGGTTAGCTACGTCATCCCGAGACCAATACACTATGCTTAAGTATATCACAGCATCTCTTTCCGATTTTAAAATCCTATATCCTCGTCCTTTGCGTAGGTCACATAAAAAATCTCGAAAACTCAATTCCTTGTGATGAAGAGGTTGCATAAATTGCAATAAATAATAAATACAAATGGTAGACAATATAAATCAATTTAGTACACATCGAATTGCTTTCTACTATGCAACATTAAGTGTACCATTAACCATTATATACACATACCCTTTTCTGTTACTGTTTGTTTACTTTTCTTACTAATTTGTAATAATTATATTCCATTTATCTTTTTTTTTAATTTTACTTTTTTTATAATAATTTAATAATAATGTATGTATACGCTTCTATATTTATTTTATGATTGTTCATTTATGGATTACTAAGAATCTGTTGAACAATAAACATTACTGATTACTGATTACATACGGATTAATTTAGACAAAACAACTCGTATAATGATAAATTGCATGTACATAACAAACCATCAAAATGGCATGACTTGCTCCGGAATCAGCTACCATTAATAGGTGCAGCTGAGAATGCAGTATTCCCTCTTCTCGTATTACACACAGTTCAGAGATGGGATAGAACCAGATACAGTGAAGAACTGTATTAGGTACTCTTGCTCCGGTATAAACTGTTAATAGAATCATGCAGGGCAATGGTATTTATGATCCTTTAACGTAAATAAATACTTAATAAAATAACAGCTGCATATTATAAACAAAAAAACCTGATTCTAGTCCAGTCAAATGAGCTCTAAAGGTAGCCTAACTGGATCTTGTCATTTCACTCAAGGAAACCAAGTGTATCCCATGTAAAAAAATCCGCTGAATCCGAAAATCATAGTTCCCCTGGCCAGAAACTCCCGTGACATTTTGTTATACCCAAAAAATGGGAAAACGGTGCAAAACACAAGCTTGGGGCGCGCAATGCTTCAAATAAACAGATATCAAAATCTAATGCAAAATGTAAATAATAACAAATTGTTATTGAATATATCGCAGCATAACACAGCAAAATGGAAATAAAACGTATTTTTATTTATTGACTAAACTCAATCTGACATTATATTTTTCTATTATTCAAAGCCAACCTATACATAAAAGGAGTTATAAACTGTGATCTCCAACAATTGTGACATGAAATTCTACGATTGATGGAGGAGCCAAATTCGCGAACAGTTACTTAATATTCTTAAATTTTTGTTGGAGAACATTTGAACAAGTCGCAATGAAGTGTTGCCGGTTTTGTGGAATATTCTAACAAAGGACGTCGCTGCTATTTATTTTTATCAATCGTGTATTTAAGAACGCGTAGTTAAGAAAATTAGTCACAAACTCGGTTAATTCATTAAAAATTCATATTCAACTCATGCACCATTTCTCAGTCGTAACTCTCTTGTCAACTTCAAATCATAACAAAACTAAAATTCTAACCAAAAGAAACCATATATAACTCGGTCATCCTGACAATATGTGCGCTCTCGCAAATCCTATAAGTTAACATGATATTCTAATTTTAAAAAAAAACACTAAAAATACTAATGAAGCATTTGGTTTGTCAATCAAAAAGTTTCGTAGTGTGTCTGCACCACTGTCATCAATTCCAGTTTACGCTAGTGATAATTTTTTTTCACACTCACGTAATATATCGGATGTAGTGCGCTCTCGCTTTCACCTTACATCAGAAACGGCAGAAGTGTCTGTGAACAACACTGTCACCGCCGCGTTCCTGTCGTACATCTTTAGAACTGCTGGGCACACCAAAGCTTCCTTCAATCCCGTCATGTGGGGGGCTCCATTTGAATTTGATGGATTTTATCGTCAGATCGCTAAAATGTTTGGCTCGGGTCGCGTAATTCTAAATCAAACGCCGGAAGTAGGTAGTCAATCCTAGAAACCGCCGTACCTCATGTGCATTCTTCGGTTGCGGAAATTCGGCTACCGCTCGCGTTTTATTTTACCCTGGTTTCATCCACTGTTACAACTTTCCATGTTCTTTATAAAAGGCTTTTGCATTTGGATTTTGCAGGTACCAACTTTTTCTGCTTCTGCAACAATCCGCTGAATGGATGGTGCATTATCTTTTTCAACCGAAGTCATTTTATCTACAACGACGGTAATTTTTATAAGCGAAAGTCAACTGACATTTCCATGCCGCATGTATCGAAAATAATATGATTTCATTTTATTTCCCTTATTTTTAAATTATATTGCAGGTGTAATAAAATATACTATAAAAAACGGCGTGTATAATTGATCTGTAAAGCATTTGCAAAGTTTAAAGACTTGCTTGTTTCTTAATACACTATTTAATCATTACTCAGAGATGTTTTTATTAAAGACCAATAATAAGAATATAGATTGTTTTAACAAATTCAATGCGAAATACGCCTATATTCAGTTTTTTTTTCGCCCATATATTACAAACAAGTCGTCCTCAAGGCAAAATTTTCTTATACCGTTGGCATCAATCACCGAATCAACTCGATCGACCTGGTCTAATATGAATTCCCTTTGTAAATTATTCGGAATTGTTTTATGAAACGGATTTATTGTAATGAGGAAAGCTACGGATGGATTAATTATTTTTTGTGTTTCACGTGTGATAATTTAAGCTCACCTTCCAGGTCTTCCCTAGTATAATTATCATAACGAGTTGGCTTTACTTGACAAAAGACACTTTCAAATCCTATATCTTTCAAAAGGTTAGTCAATTCCTCTGGTGACATTTTCAAGTTCGCTCTTTTCTGGTAATTGGTTGCTAAGTAAGGTGCATATTTTTCCATTTGACATAGTTCCTTGGTGATATGGCCCAATGTACCAGAAGCTTTATAGGTGGCAAGAAAGCGGCCATTCGGTTTCAACATTTTTAAGATGTTAGAATACAGTTTTCTACGGAAGTATAGTTAATGGCTATATTGACATTTGGCTACAAACCTTTTATCTGTTATCCAATTGAATACCATAAAGGAAAATATGTAGTCGAAACGACCTACAAATTTATCGGGAACTTCTGATGATACATCAACTTCCTCAAAACTAAACCGATCATCTCCGTACGTTTTATTCGCGTAGTCGAGAATTGTTTTAGAAACATCAACTCCAATAACTTCTTTAATGTCTTGCTCCAGGTAGGGAAGAATAACGTCGCGAATCGCTTTTCCAGGACCGCAGCCTATGTCTAGCACTGACTTGCTGTGGTTCGTACCATGGCGAATATGTGGAAAGTAAGTGTCCATTACATGTCGATAATGTATTGCTTGGTGAGGTAATATGTGCTTTATATACAGTTCGGGATTCTCCATCTCTTCAATGAAAGACTGCGCGATGAAGCCAAAAGTGCAAGAGAATTACATAAGCGCTTAACTAATACCTTCCAATTGAATCAATTTTATTCCAGTTACTTTTCACTCACCTTTATGAAATAGCACTAACCGCCTGCCTGTTTGTACAAATACCGCCTAACGACAAAGTTGATCAATGCATGCATGGAAAATAAATACCTAGAGGTCTTGACCTATGCCCTCGCTTATTATCAATTGATTACTTATCTAATGGGTTATAAATTCGATATAGGGTCAATATTGGGGTAATTGTAAACGTTTTTTCGGTAGTCTGGACAGGTGACAGAATGGAAAAATTAATGAATAATATATTACAAATATAATAATAATTAAATAATAGTATATTAAAGTACAAGTGTCATTTGACGAAGATTGTCGCACGAGGTAGTTTGCCGCATAAGCCGCGTAGCGGCGAATGCGGCAAAAGCCGAGTGCGACAAGTAGACAAATGACACGTGTGCTTTATACTATTTTTTCTATTTCGACTTTTATTTTAAATAATAAATTATACAAATTATAAATATTGCCTTTAGGCGTTGTTAGGTAATTTTAAACTATCATTCAGTGTATGTTGGTAATAGACACAATTCATTTATTTTCACGTTGGCTAACGTGATTCCTGTATTTTCAAACTTCAAACTTTTAATTATTTGGTCATAATTCCATTTTGCGGCAGTTATGATAAATACGGATGACAAACACGTCTCTTGTACCCCACCAGAGATCCATAAGAGATTGCCAATGAAGCGACGTTAAATTTACTGCCTGTAAAATCGAAAGTAAAGTACGAGGAGTACAAAATTTTTGAAAACTGGCTGGCCGAGAAGGGGAGTTCAAAAAGTAAGCAAGAATGTACTGCTGGCATATTTTACTACGCTAAGTAAAAATAAAAAAAGTTCTACCCTTTGGAGTATATATTCAAAATTAATCGGAATTAATACAATCGGTCAAGTTCCTCGTACGTTATTTACACTTTACAGGTTATGTTTAGTTTTGATTTGACGGATACCGTTGACAGCAAAAAAGCGAGGGGTACCAATCCAACAAAATAAAAAAAATAATGCGTTTCTATTTCTTTCGGCATCATTTCTGTCTAGAAACGCACGCAAACTGGGCCAATCAAGTAAGGTTTCGGTATTGTTTCCACATCGAAATAGAAAAATAATATTATTTAATATTTTTTGTTCCATATTAATAATGCGACTTTGTGCGGTTAAAACAAATACCCCTGAAGTAACGGGTCGATTGTAAACACTATGAAGGCAAATTGATTGCAACTTTAGGAAATATTGTAAAAACAATTGTTAACTAATTTGACCTTCGCATCTGAACAGATTAAATCGTTGTTTACAATTAGCATTAATCTTGGGTTGACTAACCTCCAAACATTAAAATAAGTATCTACTTAAGTTTAGAATTCTGTTTTTTTTATAAATTATTGTGTAAACCTCGTGATTAGGACGTTTGCTTTTAGCATCTACAGTATGTTGGGTCACCCTGTATGTGTCACATTTCAATTATTTGTAACGGTAAATGTCATTGCTAATTTGGACTGAGCACAGTTTCGACGATGTTTTTCGAATTTGAGGTCAATATGTTTTGTATTAGATTTGTTGATGCTTAATTTTGTTTAAATAATCGCGTAGTATTTTGTTGTTTATTTAGAAGGACTAGAGACATTTAGAACTAAAGTTACATTTAAATCGCGTAATTACGATAAGTATTTTTGTTATCGTTGCGTAAGCTAATTGAAGATAAGCAGGTTTCGCCGATTAGGTGTGCAAATTCAAGTGGAACCTGAGAGAGGTAAGAATGTTTTAAATTGAAGAAGACGTGATGTTAATAAATACGAAAAAAACCCTACAGTTTTTGGTGATGCAGCACTAGAAACCCCAAAAAAAGAAAACCCCCTCCCAGAACCACACAAAAGCCCACATTTTGACCCCCTTGCCGAAAAAGAGAATAAAGGGAACCCCGTAAAGATCCCTTTCCAACCCAACGTCACCATGCACGCGCACTATGAAATGAGAGAATGTACTCTGGATAGAAGACTGTAGGAGAGAAAAGCGAGAAATCACATCTAAAAAAGAAACCTCAATCATGTCGATTACAGGGGTCCCGTGATCACCGAGTCTCGCACAGAGAAGGCCCCTTTCTCTTGTGTGTCATTCATACAAACATGCATTCTGTGGAACGAGAACAGAAGAAAAAATGTTTCAAGCCGCGTAACACAAAGTATTGAAACGATGCATCGTCATCGAAAGCACACAAAATGTCGAATCTGCATATTGAAGCACGTCCACGTCCAGAGAAAGAGAGGAGTTAAATAAGTAAACTAAAGTTTCAAAGAAATATTACCATACATAAGAAAGTTGGCTATGAGCAGTGCCCACATAATTTTTACTATGTGCAAAATGTTTGCCTTTACTAGAAGCATCTGTGGTTACAATTTCAAAGAAATATAAATATGAAAGTAAATGAAACTGATCGATATGGGCAAATATAGACCATAACAGCTATCAATTAGCGAAAACCCGAAGTCTCTAGGTGGCCCAGGGGCCGAGATCTCGATGGAACGGGCGGACGGACGCACGGACAGACGGAAACACGAGCACATGGGCTTTACTTCAACGTCGTTGTGTTACGCTAAAAAGAGTAGCAAAAGATTGAAAACTAAGAAAAAGGACAGCCTCTCCCAAATGTCACTTGAGCAAATTAGATGGAAAAGATGAAAAAGAAAAAGAACAGGGAATTGATCTCGGGGATTAATCCCCTAGCGGCTACGATCCAGGAAACTATCTCTTGTACCCAATCAACCAACCGAAGAATAAGAAAAATGGAACATAAGGAAATATTAAAGTCCGAGAAAAAGAGTCAACAATTTGAAGTAAAACCCTCAACGAACGAACAATCCGGGGAAAACGAACGTCTAGCCATGTACATCAATAATTCTGCACGTGCCAAATGTTAGTGGATTTGCGTATATATAACCTCAAGTCCGTAATTTAGATAACTAACCAACCTTACGACTAATGGCAAATGGTCCTAAAAATCGAGGTGCTAATTTAGCAGAATAATCTATAGTCGAATCTGAAATAGTTTTGTTTCTTCGCCAAACGTTTTGGTCAATGCCATAATTATGTCACATGACGTCGTCGCAACTCGCAAGTCATAAATACGTTTGTTATGGTCATGTGAAACTTTGAGACCGTCTATTTTGGTCTAGAGTTCCTGTTGGTTCCCCAATGTCAGTATCATAACTATCCACCCGAACCTTAAATTCTTTACCAAAGTTGGCACGGTAAGGTTTAACGCCAGTTGTTTCATGTCTCCCGGTTCGCAAAGCGCATGCGATAGACGCCAAATGAGTGTCGCCCATGCCGATGATTATATTTGACATAGGTAGAGTTTATTGTTTCACGTGACGGTTGACCCGCTCAACAGGAACCGCCTGTAGATGGTAAAGCACATTGAAATGAAACTTCACACGGTACCGATCACAAAGTTTCACATCGGAAAAAGAAGAACTTCGTAAAACAACCACAAACGCTTAAAATGTGTACACGCCCCTTAATGTCTTGAAATAACAGGATTGTGATATTCTGTGCGGTGATCTCTTGGTATGACTAAAATCCAATTTTCGTGGCCCGACTTGCTCATAGCTTGCGGGACTGAAGCCACACGTAACTATCTGTTAAGGAAACACCTTCAAGGTAATATCTTAATTGTTCTACATTCCATATTACCGCCAAGCACTCACGTTCAGTCGTGCTGTAATTGCGTTCGGTTCGAGTTAAAGACCGGGGCAAATAGCAAATGACACGTCCGCCCTTAGGGAATACTTGAGTAAGCATGGCGCCTAAACCAAAATATGAGACGTCCGTGTGAAGGACGAACGGTTTTGAAAAGGACATGATAATACTGGCGTGGTAGTCAATAATTCTTTCAATCGGACTAAAGTTTCTCCACACTCAGGATTCCACACAAATTTAATATCTTTTTTAAGCAGTTGTACCAGAAGAGACAATGATCACGTCATCGAGAAAGACTAACACATTGGGTTGTAACTCTGGTCCCAGGTTGCCGGTGCATTCGTCAGCCCAAAAGGCATTCTGCAAAATTGGTACAGACCTCGTTCAGGTACAGTGAAAGTAGTATGTATATGGTTTCGAAAATGGAGCGTGCCAATATCGATAACAGCTGAGGAAACGCGCGTCTCGTAATTGGTACAGAAGCGTAGGTACATTGGATATGGGAAAAGAATCCTTTAATGTGACTGAGTTCAACAAAATCGATATGTCTCGTCCTTCTTTGGAATCTAACATATTGGAGAAGTGCACCTCCTTTTTAGAAGGTTCAATAATTCCCTAAAGTCCCAAAAGTATAGACAAACGCAAAACCAATTAGTGGTAGCTTTCAAATAAACTGATCGAACCAACGACGAGTAAGGTGATTTCAAGTAAATTATCTTATCATTAATTGCATTAAAACTTCGAACCTTCAAACTCACCGGTAGATATTTCCGGGATAACAGAAATGTTGGAAAGCAAGAAATTGCTTCAATCCCTCAACAGAAGACTACTAGTTCAATGGTAGAGCGTTAAACTATAAAGCCGGAGGTCGGGTGTTCGAACTTGGGATGAGGTAAGAATTTTTCATCTGTGACATAGATGGGAATTTCCTTAAGGCGCGGTTCGGCGAACCACGAAACTGATGCGTGGTTCGCATTGGTTTGCGTCTTTTCGATCAGGTGTGTCAAAACGGTATTTGGTTCGTTCATATTTGTGACGTAATCGGTTCGTCTTCATAATACGGAACCAAAATCAGTACTGCAACAACGACCATGGATGCTAGACAGAGAATTATTGCTTCTACCAGCTTGTGCGTTATTTACGCGGGAACAAAATACTCAACAATTAAAAGAACAAGAGAACAAATTGTAATGGTTTTTCAGTACTCCACGGCATTTAAGTGAACTTATAACCTATTTCAAGTGACTGGACATAACTGAAAAAGAAAACTAACTGACCGGCAGCAGCAGGTTCGCAGTATAGCAAACCTACACGAAGCTTGCACGAACCAACGAACAGAACTTCTTTGATGTGTGCACTTTTACCGACCGCCAACGGATCGTACGAACCACGCACCGCGAGCGCACCACGAGCCAATAGCGAACCGCCTATGTCAGACGACTCGTGGTTCGTCAAGTCAGGTTCACCGAACCATGCGCCGTGTAACTGCGCCTTTAGACCAGTTTCGAGCATTCTGCCGGCCACTTCGAATTAGGTTTTCCTGCAGTTTTCCTAGTTCGTAAGTTAAGACCTTCTGCAGAGGCATTATGCGGGTCGCTTTGTATTTGGGCGCAAGATTCCCAAGATACTTATGTTAGATTTCCGTAATTGGAAGTGTAATTATAAGTATACTTCCACGCTTTCAAAATGTGTTTTAAAAATGACCACTTTTCCTTTTTAAACTCTAATCAAAACTCCATGACCGGCTATAAATTTTATGAAAACTAAGAAGGGCTGTACAAATTAGTTTATTTAAAAAGATAATAATAAATGAACGGTGAACTTTACAACTGATGTGCCTCTTTTTGCAATAATAAAAACAAATGATGCTTTCTTGATGACTAAGGAGTGTGATTGATTTTGAGTGGTTCATAATCAACACGGTTGCAGAGTTATGAACGAAAAATGCTTCCGCTCATCCCAACTACATCGTTAGCCATGATGTTTCCCCCAATAGCATTTATCTGTAATAATGATATATACAGAGTCGCTGATAAGTTTGGAAACGATCGATTATCGGGGAAAATATACAAGGTATCAAAAAAAGTTTTATAAAAAACATTTGAGATTCTTTAATGTCTACTAGAGCAGTAACAATTTTAATTATACAGAGTTGGTCCATAAAGGCGTGACAAACCAATATTGCATTTTTTTCAATGAGACACCCTGCATATTACTCGATATTTCAATTCTTCTTTTCATTTTGAGCATAATGTACCCAAATGCATTCGTTTCCGAGTTATCGAGTTTTAAAAATAAAAGGTATTGCTTTAAAATGTATTGAATAAAGATAGATTTAAAAAAAATGCAATTTTGGTATGCCGTGCCTTTATGGGCAATCCTATATAATTAAAATTATTACTGCCTAGTAGACATTGAAGAACTGCAATACTTTTGTATAAGATATATTATAATATTTTGTATATTTTCGCCGATAATCGATCGACTTATCAGCGGCCCTGTATGTATTTAGATAGATTGTTTTAATTAACAAATTCAACGCGAAATACCCCTATGTTGAGTTTCTTTTTCGTCCATGTATGACAAACAAGTCGTGATCAAGGTAATATTTTCTTATGCCGTTGGCATCAATGACCGAATCAGCTCGATCGATGTGGTCTGATATGAATTCCTTTTGTAAATGATTCGGTAATTTAAAGGGGTTTATTGAAATGAGAAAACCTACAAATGGATTAATTAATTTTTACGATTCAAGTATGAAAATTTAATTTCACCTTCCAGGTCTTCCTTAGTATAATCATCAAAACGACCTGTTTTTACTTGACAAACGACACTTTCAAATCCTATATCCTTCAAAAGGCTTCTTAATTCTTCTTGTTGCGACGTTAGGTTTGGTTTTTTCTGGTAATTGGTTGTGAAATAAGGTGCATATTTTTCAATTTGACGAAGTTCTTTGATGATATCACCCAATTTACCAGCAACTACATAAGTGGCAAGGAAGCCACCGTTCGGTTTCAGCATTTTTAAGATGTTAGAATATAATTTTCTGCGGAAGTATAATAGTTAATACCTACATTGACCACAAACCTTTTATCTGTTATCCAATTGAATGTCATAAAAGAAAGTATGTAATCGAAACGATTTACAAAGTTATCGGGAACATTCAATACATCAACTTCCTCAAAGCTAAGTCGATCGTCCCCGCACGTTTTCTTCGCATAATCGATCATTATTTTAGAAATATCTATTCCGATAGCTTCTTTAAAATCTGGCTCCAAGTAGGGAAGAATAACGTCGTGAGTTGTTTTTCCAGGACCGCAGCCTATGTCGAGCACTGACTTTCTGTGGTTTGTCTCATGGCGTATATGTGGAAAGCAAGTCTCCATTAAATTTCGATAATATTTCGCCTGGTGAGGTAATACATGTTTTATATACAGTTCTGGATTCTCCATCTCTTCAATGAAAGACAGCGGCGATGAAGCTAAAAGTGCAAGACAATTACATAGCGCAAAATAATCTTCGTGTTAAATTTTGCAATACTTAACAGCAAGATATATTTGAAAATTCGTATCCACACGTGTTTGTAAAATCTATCTTTGTTTTAGTCTATTGGTAGTATTTTCAACAGTACACTGCGCTTTTTCCATGAAAATTTATTTCAGTTACTTCGTACTTACCTTTTGAAATGGGGAGCACTAAGCGCCTGTTTGTAACAAAGTTGATCAATGCATATAGCGAAAATATATACGCTTGTTGGCCTATGCCCTCGCATATTATTATCCAATGATTACTTATCTAATGGGTTACTTTTGATAATCAGGGTAATTGTAAAGCTTTTTTGCTAGTATAGATTCAAAAAATATGGCAATGTTAATTTTTAGAAGTTAAATCGTAAAATAATGTAACGTAAATTTAATTACGAGATTTATTATTTATTTACAAAAAAATAATGCGTCACATCTGCTTTTGTTGCTTATCGCCAATGACTAATCTTTTATGGCACCTCGATGTCTATCGGAATTTGTATAATATTCGCTATACGAACCCTCTCATGAAACTATTGCGTCCGTCCGTTGTAGCGGAGACACAGTCCTATGCGACTATTGTTCTATAACGCCACCTTGATGACGGTACTTGCAAGATGACCCAATACCGTTTTACGAAACGGTTGCGGGGTTCCTCTGTGGGCGAAACAACAGACCAATATTATCAGGCCTGTGCCCTGGAAAACCACCTCCAGTATATTGCACACGATGTGCCAGTTCAATCTATCAAGACCACATCCGATTTTCTGAATTGCCAACTTTGTAAGGCCATGAATTTGTAGTTGTCGTTTCAAGTGCTGTAACGCATTCCAAAAATCTTCGTACCTGGGCTTTTCACAAGATCGATCCTTTGTTATGAGATTATAAACGAATCGTCCCTGCTCCATACTCACCTCGGGATATTGAAGGTAGATTGTATCGGTCCTCCCCAAGTTCTTTTTCGGGAAATCCCGAATCTCCTCTGGGAACGCTACAAGCAAACTGGATCTCTGGATGGATAACTACACTTTCATTCTACCGTTAGCCAACTGCATATTATGGCGAACTTTGTCATGAATGGCACCCAATTTCTGACGCAGGTTTTCCACGTACTCGTTATCCACAGTTTCTTCTTGGCTGGGTCTTGTACCAAACTGTAAATCAATGGCAACCTGAGTTCTCGACAAAACAAAGATAGGCTCTGACCGGTAGTTTCATGTACCGCAGAACGGTTCACCATCAGGAACAAGTGCAGATTTTGATCCCAATCACGCTGATGGTCGGACACAACTTTTGACAAGTACTTCCCCATTGTGCTATTTATGCCTTCTGCCATTCTGACTGTGGGTGTAAAGCTTCTGGTCTTGCGAATGCCCAATATTGACACAGTACCAACTCAAAATTTTCACCCTGGTCTGAGTGTAGTTCCAGGGGTACTGCCACAATTATCTTTTGGCTGGTATCATTCTTGCACTGCACAAATTGTCGGGGTCCACTGTCACTCCATTGTCTGAAACCGGATAACCAAGATAATATACTTTCTTTTTGGAAAAGGGTCCACTTCTTTGTATTAGCGAGGTATTAAGTTGGAGTTTGGCACCACGTGTTCAAGATTCTGGAAGTACCCTTCCAGTCAATTACGTCGTCCAAATACGCAAGGTACGTCTTCCAGGATAAACATCTCAAAACCAGTTTCATTAATTTTTCAAACGCTGCGGGGGCGTAACACAAACCAAAGGGCAGGACCATAAAAGATTAGTCATCGGTGATCAAGAACGAAGGTGGATGTGACCCAATCTTTCCGGGAAATATGATGTGTTTTGTTTTAGAATGTTCGAGATCATTCGGGAGCACTCAAGGACACTCGAGTTTTCTATATAAGCAAATCGAATTACGTTTTAGTTCAGTTGATACATTTTGTGGCCGAAGATTACGGTAATGGCAATAGCTAATAATTCGAATTAATTCATTAATGTGATTGTTACACGTGCAGCATCTAGTGGACGCGATCCGAAGCCTCTTTGACGATGCATTTCTTGTTTCAGAAATATCGCCAGGTATTTTCCAAAATCTTCGTCGCGACATATACCGGGTGGGGCAATAAAACGACACGTGTTTTGGTATTAAGCAACAAATCCTAAAAGCATAAATGAAAATTTGGATACAAGCTGAATGTGAGGACTTATTATCCACATCTGGTAAATTTTGTATGCAAAATCGTGTCAATTTTCAAGAGTACTTATTGTTTTTTAAAGAAATGATTTTTACGAAAGCAAAAAATAGGTCAAGACCAAAAAGAAATAGATATTTATTGATTTTTTAAAACATACTTTTTATTTGGATTTTCAACTGTGGCCGGTGGCATTTGAAAAATTTTATTTTGGCCCCTTGGAAAAAAAGGTTGCCCATGCCTGGTCAAGAAGATATGCCTCTTGGCGTACTCCTTGGACCCATGCTGAACAAAATAATAGATAGTACGTCGATAGTTTTTAAACAAATATCCGATAACGTTGTATCAAAGGACAGACGGAAGGAGAGCACATGCACATCTTTGTCGTTCACTGTGCCCCTTTTAATTTCGGTCTAACAAGCGAACGCATAAATGACAGTACTCGGGGCCTATTAACTACGAGAACGCGGACTGGTATTAGGAAATGGGCAGTGGATAATAAATCCAAATTGGAGGCTCTATTGCTCCTTACATAACAATATGCCTTTATTATAACCAACATTTAGGGCACACTTTGACCTTACTGTTAGCCATAGTAACCAATTTAAAACCCATCTAAAACCAGTGGAACACTTCCATAAAAAAATGATAATGTTAAAAAATATGAGTCAATTAATTATAAGAAGAGGAATTAATTAATCCTTTCAGCTAAGTTCATATAATTTACCGTTAAACTGAATTTTTAGTTTAGCTTACAACATGACATTTAATTTCAATTTCTTTTATATTTATGAAGGCCGTTTGAATTAAAAATAAAGACATAGTATTATTATTATATTATTATTAAAGCTGTTACTCCCTAACTTTAATTTATTAAGTCTTTCCGTGACCAACGGCCCCATCTATTGCATTTGTATATGAGACCACTCGAAGATTTATATAGGATTATAGCTACTTGCAAATATTATATTATTCAATTAATTAATGTTAATTGAAAAGAATTTACTTTGTAGTGAATTATTCCTATAGTGGATTCGCACTGAATATAATTAACAAATGCACACTTCTACCTCTTTCCCTTATAAACCGATTAAGCGTGAAGTCAGACGGAACCAAAAAAAAATTTATATGCAATCGGTTGAGCACTCACAAGAAATAACCAAGCACTAAGGCAAGTGTAGTTAGACCTAAGCCAAGCACTTGAGCACTACGTTGGTTGACCGGGCACTAAAAAGCACTACTACCTGACACAAAATTGGGAACAGATTACAATACAGTTAGGGAAAACGAAGATATCACGAACCAATAAAAAAAAATTAAAATGAAATGGATGGAAGCATTAATTATTGAGCACTAACGAACTACATAGCATAGTGAGGGACTGTCAGGCTATTTACGATTCACGGGCATTAGGCGTATAAATTTGTGACAAAAATTTACGCTATTAATAACCCCAATTTGTAAATTTGAAAATGGTGTCGTACACTTTGGATATAAAAACGTATAACCGCAAGGGAAATAATGCGATCTATCCATAGCACTTGGGACGGTTGCCATTGCGAAAGTTGTCATTATTGCGACGATGAAAGTAAAGAAACAGCATATCATATAAGATTTGGGCACTTAACAGCGGTCGCAATTCTCCCGTTTCTCTCGGTACGATCAATCTACCCTCCCGGATGGTAATTTAGTATTCAAACAACATACGTTTTCGAAACACATGCCGGCAATTACCGTTGACCTAACACTGGAAGTACACAGAACTATAACTCTTTTATTGTTATGCGGCATGTGATCCGCCAACTGAGGCAAAGAGATTTCAAAGCTGGGAGTATTCTCAAAAGTGCTGTTTAGTTTCAGTTTGTCTCTGTATATTTGAGAAAGTTTTAAGGGAACTTCTTTGTATTTTTACAATATGTCTTAGTTTAGTTTTTTTTCGTTTTATTGGCAGAATTCGTTTGCCCACTTTCCGGTTTCATTATACGTAGCAATAAAAAACGCTCGGCTCTACTAAAGGTTATGAATCATAGTTATCTAAAATACGTATATTTTAATTATATCCGACAAAATTTGTATTCTAATCGCCGCTATAAAATTTAAATTTTTCGTGCCGCCACCATTGGTATAAACATTTTAACGTTCCCTGCGTTAATAGTGTTAATTATGTTTGTTTAATTATAAATTCATCACATTCCAACATATTAATGAGATTGTGCGCTTCGTGTTTATTTATGGTTATTGCATAAACGTTTAAAAGACGGGAAGATAAATTCGCCGTGTGTTAACGATACATCTCATGTCTTTCGCATTTAATTAAATGTGGTAGATGGACTACTGAGAAAAAATCTTATTTTTCAACAGGCATGATGTAATCAATCGGATGGGCGCAAATTGGGTTGTCAATTGCGGCGGGAAATTTTTGTCAGTTCCACGTTTTTGATCGCAATTGGGGTTTG